ATTCTAGGCAAAGGAGGTACACATGCAGGGCTCCGCGGTGGGTCATACTGGCCATGTAATTAATTACTGAAAATCTGCTTCATTTACGGTCTCGGATTAGTCGATTATCTACAATTCTTGAGGGTGAGGCTCCTTTTTTATTGCCTGCTGGTTTTCATTTGTTGTGACTTTCCACGCTTACTCTGTTTGGATGATAAATTCATCTGCGGCGGGTTTTAGCTGGAAGCTGAGAGTCAGGAATGGTTTTGTTTATTCCAGGCTCGCAGGTCCGAGCCGAAACGGACACGTGGAGGTGGACATTAAGTTCCGTGCGGCTCAGGCCTGTGACTAGACATTTCCATGGTTGTGCTTTTCCCGTCGAGATCCCAGGCTGGCCCCAGGCAAGTTCTTGTGGGGCGGGGGGCGGGGGGGGGCAGGGTGTGGGGAGGGCGCACGATGCCTGCGACAGTCGTTCTGGTTTTATGAAAAGGGGCTTCAGATCTGATTCTCTGATCAAAGTCGAAGAACTCAGTTCTGGATGACAGAGATGCTCGGGCCACCCCCACAAAACTGGCGCCGATGGGGCTTTTGTGGCGTCAAGTCCCGCACTTTCTACTCTGGGTTTTAGTTTACTCCTAGTGTTTGGCCCTTGGGAATTCCTTCTCTTGGGAGCCGAGCTGTGCGTGTAAAAGGAAGGATAGAATTGATCGTGCTTTTGAAGCAGAACGGTTTTCAGATCATCGGTCGTTACTACTGGAACCAAAAGCCTCTGTTCGGAACCAGTATCTTAGCACATTCCTTTTTGGTCTGCATTTATGTAAGTCTGTGTTTGCTACACGGATACATTAAAAACACCGACCGATTCCATAGTCCTGGAGTAAGTGCTGCTTGGTCACTTCTTTGTGCATGAGACAATGCCAGTTACTAATATTTTTTTTTTTTTTAAGATTTTATTTATTTATTTATTTATTTGAGAGAGAGGCAGTGAGAGAGAGCATGAACGAGGAGAAGGTCAGAGGGAGAAGCAGACCCCCCATGGAGCTGGGAGCCCGATGCGGGACTCGATCCCGGGACTCCGGGATCATGACCTGAGCCGAAGGCAGTCGTCCAACCAACTGAGCCACCCAGGCGTCCCCAGTTGCTAATATTTTGAGTAAAAATTTCTGTGCTGAATCTTGATTGTTTCATGGACAGGTTTGAGGTAGCTTCCCTTTTTTTCTCTGGTTAGAAATGGTTTGTGGAAAAGAATTACTTAAATAAGTTTGAAGAAATAAATACGACCGCCCTCTCAGATTCAGATGATCTTTGGGGGAGGCTCTGTCTGAACATCCCCAGTGTCCTTCTCAGCTGTTACTGTCTTATTTGTTCTTGAGTAATTCTAGCAGTTTTTATAGTAATATTTCAAGAAACTATATTTTAAATGTTACTGTTTAGAAAAGGAACTTTTAATTTTTTTTAATTAAAGCTGGGAAGTTTTCTCTTAATTTGGCAGTATGCTAAAGGTTTTCTATGGAGCCTTTTTATTTCTCCCTTGTTTTTTGGGAAGTAGATTCTTCAAAAATTGTTTTCATTTTTCATATTATAGTGTGATATGAATTTGAAATGCATTTTTCTTAACAATGAAAAAATACTACAGCGCTAAAATCTAACCTCATTAATTATTTCTAAAAATCTTTACTATCTTTTTTCCATTTTGGTTAATTTCCATTGCTGATAACAGTAGTGATGATTTTCCACTGGAATTACCTGTCATTTTATCATACTTTTTTTTTTTTTAAGATTTTATCCATTTATTCAACACAGAGAGAAAGATCACAAGTAGTCAGAGAGGCAGAGAGCGAGGGGGAAGCAGGTTCCCCGCTGAGCAGAGATCCTGATGCGGGGCTTGATCCCAGGACCCTGAGATCATGACCCAAGCCGAAGGCAGAGGCTTAACCCACTGAGCCACCCAGGCACCCCTATCATACTTTCTTTTTCTTTTTCTTTTTTTTAAGGTTTTATTTATTTATTTGACAGAGATCACAAGTAGAGAGGCAGGCAGAGAGAGAGAGAGAGGGAAGCAGGCTCCCTGCTGAGCCGAGAGCCTGATGCAGGACTCGATCCCAGGACCCTGAGATCATGACCTGAGCTGAAGGCAGCGGCTTAACCCACTGAGCCACCCAGGCGCCCAGTTACCACGTGGAAATACTTTCTAATTACAAAATACAAACAGGACTTTCAAAAAATTTTGAAATATTGAAAGAGAATTAATAGAAATCCCGGAAATAGGATTTGGCAGTCATTTTTGAAGCCTAGAATTTCCAGAATTGGAATAATTATACATTGTTTTGTGGTATTTTGGGGGTATGGCGAAAAGGTTTTGTCTTTAAATGTTCTCGAAGAACGTGTGTTTTAGTTCTGAGTCTTCTGTTACATATTACTTGCTTCTTGGACCTTTGTTTTTATTTGAAGGGAACACAGATTTGTCTCATTCCTCTCATTTTCAACCGCCTTTTTTTGTTAGATTATTTTGCAGTATTGTTAATGTTAAACTCTCCCTTGATTATATAAGCTTTTGCTCAGCATTTTTGCTCATAGTTAGATCTTGGTTTCAGTGTTCCTCCTGGTGGAGAAATTCGGGATCTTTCCACGTGGTAACTGGTGCCATCTTCTGTCTGCTTTTCTGTATTTATCCATACATTTGTGTGTACTTTTGATATTTACGCAAATATCTTTTCTCTTTTTGCACATTTATTTGTAAGGCGATCTATTTAAAACTATCCCTAGTTTGACTGTAAGAAGATGAATATATTCCTTTCGTATATAATTAAGTCAGAGCAGGTAACTTCGGATTTCTGCTCTGCGTTGTTTCTTAACTTTTACCCTGTGACAACGTGTCAGCAGCTGTCTTCATCCACCCCAGTGAAACCGGCCTATTTAAATTCTCTCTGAAATCATTGATCATCCTGTTAGACCTGGTTCCCTGCTCATCTTTAAATTCTGTCTGCCTTTTGCACGTTTTCTGAAGCTTTGAGTGGGGGGAAGGAACGGGGTCGCATGTGAATTTGCTGGGAAGTGAAGCCGGCTGACCATCATTGGTTGGGTGTGTCACAGCTTCCAGAGTTTATCTGCGGGCACCCTTTCTGTGGCGTTCCCCTGTGGTCCAGGTCATCCCGTGTCCACGTCCGCCAGCTCTCCTGGGTCTTCGCTTGTGCGCCTTGTTGTGGCCGGAGTCTGTGCTCAAGGTCTGTTGTGTCCCGTTCGTGCGGCTTAGGTATTTGACACTTGTTGCATGTGAGACGTTGTGTTGTCAATACTGTAATTTTCCAGAGCTGCCGTCTCATTGCCGTCTTTCTTCTTCAAAAGATGGATTAACTGTTCTTTCGGTTGCCTTGTGACTTTCTAGTTCATGATTCTGAGTGTTTTATGGTCTCTTACCAAGCATTGCCTTTTTTGCACCTGAAAACGCTTTCATTTGTCCTATCCTTTCTTTGTCTTTCACTAATTCTTGGGATTTATCTTTACCTGTTCCTAGTAAATACAGTTTTGACCTAAAAATAACGCTCTGTACATTGATGTTCAAGGTCTTACTTAAAATGTGGCGGGGAGGCAGGGGGCCTGACCGGCCCCGTCGCAGAAGCGCAGTTCCTGATCTGGGGCTTGTGAGCTCGTGCCCCACTGTGGGTGTAGTGGTTACTTTAAAAAAAAAAATAAAATCTTTAAAGGAAAAACGTGAGGAAAAATTTGTAATTTAATTGGATATTGCAGTATGTGATTTGATAACAGTCATTCAGATGACCAAATCTATTTCCTTTTTTTAAAGATTTTATTTATTTGACAGACGGAGATCACAAGTAGGTAGAGAGGCAGGCAGAGAGAGAGAGAGGAGGAAGTAGCCTCTCCACTGAGCAGAGAGCCTGATGCGGGGCTCTATCCCACACCCTGGGATCATGACATGAGCCAAAGGCAGAGGCTTTAACCCACAGAGCCACCCAGGCGCCCCAGACCAAATCTATTTCTTATCTATACTTGGTCTTTGTCTGCAGTTCTTGGTTCAGCGCTCCCCAGACCCCTGAAATTTCTTCCGCTGAGAGTGATTAAGGTGTCTTTTGTTACGTTAACGAGGAGACTTTGGGCCATCTCCTAAGGGCAGCTGTCAAGAGAAGGACAGCTGTCAAGAGATCCGGTCCTGTAAATTAGAGGGTTGCCGGTCAGTCCCACCCTGGCCTGGGCGGAGGGGGACCGGGAGGGTCATAGCTTTAGTCAGTCCCGAATGGCTAGTCACTGAATCAGTCACGCCCACGTAATGGAGCCTCGAAAACGCAGACACTCAGAGATCCTGGGACAGTTGGTGCTCCCGGAGAAGGCATAGAAGCTTCACTCCCCTTCCCACACAACTTGTTCTGTGCGTCCCTTTCATCTGGTTGTTCCGAGTTACATCCTTTTATAATAAACAGTAACCCAGGAAGCAGAAAGTTCTGAGTTCTGTGAGCTCATCTAGCAAATGAACGTAACCGAAGGAGGGAGGCCCCGGCAAGCTCTGCCATACAGTCTGTCAGCCGGGACCAGGACTCGCAGTTGGCATCCTGGTTTGGAGGGGTCGAACCGGAAGCTCCATTGCGTGGCCAGCTGCTGGCAGAAGCACAGGGCTTGTGACTGGTGTCTGATGGGGGAAGGGGGGCCATCCGGTGGGACTGAACCCTCCACCTGTGGCATCAGATGCGATCTGGGTAACAGTGTCCCAATCGGTGAATTCTTAAACTCTGTGCTGTGTCAGAGAGTGTCTTCTCCGTGTGGGGATGCCCTGCCTTCCCCCACCACACACACTGAAATTGGGTCCGGGAACCTGTTCAGATGTTCATCCCCCTGTGTAACAAAGGGGAAGGTCAGAGGTACTTCTTAAACGACAGGACACATTCCATGGGTCCTGTACCATGAAAATACTCGTGGGCCTTGGTAACAAGCAAGAGTCAGAAGCAGCTTGTCCGCACCTCTGCCTCACTTTCCCTGTTATGCCGACACTGCTCTTCTCTCCTCCTCAGTGCAAGAGAGGGCCAGCACCCACCTCCTCCTCGGCATGTGCTTGGACACCTATGCGCGCTACCTTCTGTTCTCCAAGCAGCCGTCACAGGCACAGAGGATGTATGAAAAGGCTTTGCAGATTTCCGAAGAAATGCTAGGAGAAAGACACCCACAGGTAAGGGAGGAGAGCGGGGAGAGGAGCGTAAAACAGAGGTGTCAGAGTGTCCTGGTGTGAGACCCCACATTGGGGACGGATTCTCAGTGGAAGGTCCTAGTGGTTTCCCGTCCGTGTGCCCCAGGCCCTTCCTTTGCCCACCCCCCGGCTGCCTGCTTCAGAAGGACCCAAGCGCTGCCGACAGGCTCAGCAGAGTGTGCACCTGACTCTCGACCTTGAGGTAGAGTTTGAGTCCCAGGTTGGGTGCACAAACGACTTTCAAAAAAAAAAAAAACCCAAAAATTAAAAAAAAAAAAAAAAAAAAAGCATCTGAGACCTTGCATCATTTACTGGGTCTGTCCAGAGCCTTCTGTGTGTGTATCCGTTTACACAGCGGAGCAGCCTGTCCCCACTAGTAGGTCTAACCAGGCACCTCGGGCTTGCAGGCCCTCAGGGCACCCAGCGCAGTGTTCTGGAACCCTGAATCTCAGTGGGAATCTTAGGAGGAGCAGGTTGACACATGGAGGTTCTTGTCTCCCTCACCCCACAGGTAAGCTGCCAGGGGACGTGGGGGGAGAAGGGGGAGGGGGACCGCATTAAAAAGCCAAAGCCACCGACACAGAATATAGCCACGCCGTGCAGAGCTCTCGGTTCGAACCGAGACCGCACTGAACTGAAATCTGTTTCTTCTCCATCAGACTGAGTTCTTAGAAGTGAGAACTAGATCACTTATGTGAGATGCTCGGTAGCCCCCGGAAGGACACACACTTTAACCCGCCTGAACATGTTCCAGGCTGGGGGCGGTGGGCGAGTCAAGGTATTGGGCTATGATTTATGCTCAGGAAGGGGACTTAGGTGACAGAGTGCCCTTCACGGAATATAGCCCTGCAGAGGAAGACGACGAATCTGCAATTCAGATCCAGGTGCTAGAACTGAGGCGTAAAGCACGGGCTTCAGGAGCTGAGGCGGGTCTGCCACTCCTAGTGTCAAAATTCTTAAAGGTTGACTTAAGAGTTTTAAGATTCAAAACCCTTAAAAGAGACCTTCCTAAAACCCGTAGTCTATGTATGTGTTCTTCTCGACGAGTCTCAGAGTCACCCGCAGGAATGACATTGAAGACGGCGCCGGAGGCTAGCTTCTCAGGACGGCGAACCTTAAATGAGATTGTTTATAGCTGCTGCTTGCGGTTCTGTTTTTGTGTGTGTGCTTCTGATTTGGTCATCAGATTAAGTAATATTCGTCCTGTTCCCAAGTTTCTAGACTTCCGTCATTTTCCGGAGTCGAACGGATGCCGTGTGCCGTACGGTGCAGTGAGCGGACGCGGCTCGTTCAAGGCCGATGCCCTTCACCTGGGGATGCTAGGAACACGGAATCTTAAACGTAGATTCAGTTCACCAAACTCCAGATTGTTCGATCTGTGTAGCTGCTGCTTTTAACTGGCCCCGTTTTCTGTTGGGCACAGACCATCGTGCTGATGAGTGACCTGGCGACCACCCTGGACGCGCAGGGCCGCTTCGACGAGGCCTGCGCGTACGTGCAGAGGGCGTCCGACCTGGCCAGGCAGATCGAGCACCCCGAGCTGCACATGCTGCTCAGTAACCTGGCCGCCATCCTCATGCACCGAGGTAGGGTGCCCGGCGTGAGGGCAGGGGGGTCCCTGGAGGTAGGACTCTGCGAGAGGGCTTCAGGGAGGCCAGGGGCGGTCTGGAAGCTCTGGAACGAGGGGGCTGGCCGGAGGTCCCAGAGAGGACAGGTTTGCTTCCAGTGGCACCGTGTGTGGCCTCCCGCGTTCCTGGAGAGATGTGGGAGCTTGGGCGGAGAGCGTGGGGCCCCGCTCCGCCACTGGCAGGGGCCATGCCCGCCCGGGGCTCCACGTGTGGCCACTGGTGCCCACCCTGCGGAGCCTCGCAGAATCACTCTGAAAACCTGCATTTCTCTCTCCCCTCCCTTCTCTCTGGGTCATTTAGAGCGATACGCACAAGCAAGAGAGATCTACCAGGAGGCGCTGAAGCAAGCGGAGCTGAAGAGAGACGAGGTTTCTATACAGCACATCAGGGAAGAGCTGGCCGAGCTGTCGAGAAAAAGTAGACCTTTAACTTAATTTTACGAAGCGCGAGATCCCTTTTTGTTGTAGGGAATTTTCAGCAACAGCGATTATTCCGGTCTCAGTGATACCCAAATCAGTGGCTTAGATCCTTTCTCCTTGATATTCAAGTTTTGTCAGTGTGGCTGTGGTGAAGGACAAGTTGTATACACTGCCACTTTGTGTTTTTAAAGGAAAAACAACTCTCACCCCTGGCTGGTTTTGCCTCTAAGGACAGATGTCAAGTGATGCTTTCAGTCGTGACCTCTGAGAGGGTCCGGGCGCGCGGGTCTTGGGGGCACCGCGGATGGCGAGGGGCTGGGCCGCCGTCGGCTGGGCGTGCGGGGGGGGGTCAGCCAGCGTCCGTGTCCTGTGGTTCTGACCCATTGATTCCCTCCCCTCTCTTTCGTTTTATCGCTGTCGGGCAGATCAGAGCGACCTGTCTCGTGGCGAAGGGGGATTGTGGTGAGTTATTTTCCTTCTCCCTTTCCTGAAGCCCAGTGTGGGGTGTAACGCGTAGTGGAGCAAAAGTCTCGTCTTGGTTTGCACCGGCGTCCAGCATGACGTTTGGAAGTAGGAGTTTTAGGCCCTTGGAAGTATGCCCATTTAATGATAAATAAAAGTGAACTGTGTGTTTTTATATCTGGTTACGTACGACCGTGAGGAAGGGGAACAAGGAGTGACGCGGACTCTTCTCGAAGCTGGTGGAGCACTCCACTGCCGTGCAGCCTCGGGCCCTGCGCAGGGTCCTCTGCACCTGCCCAGGCTGCAGCCCCCGGCCTCAGGGTAGGGCCTTACACGTGTGACCTGTAAACCCCCCCCCCCCCCCCGCCAGCAATTCCAGCAGGCACTGCTGGTACAGTAGCAGGATCACTGACCTGGTCCTGGCCTTTGGTATCCGCGTCTGTAAAGCAGGGGACCGAGGAGATTCCCCTGCGGCCGTGGGAGAACATACCCGGTCAGAGGACCGTAGGTGGACAGACTACTGTGTGGAAAGAGCCTTACCCTGCTACCGCAGAGAGCGCAAAGTTGAAACCTGCGGGCTAGGGAGCCAGCTGTGCTCACCCCCGAAGGCTCGCAGGGAGCCCTTCGCCCAGGGGAAAGGGGGTTTTTGTAGGTGCCACGAAGGAGCACTGTTGTTGGTAAGCCTCTGCGGGTGGGGGTGTGAGTGGGAATGATAAACATATTTTTGTTTCCTGTGTACATATTGGAAGAATCCTTTCATAATAAACTAGAGACTCTACAACAACGCTCTATGTATTCCGTAATCTTTGAATTTCTCACAAGAACGAACTTAATAGAGTCAGGAAAACAGAAACTAGAAACCTTGAGGTCCAAATCCTCGGGGATTAGACTTAAACTAGAATTTTATATTTTTTTTATATTTATATTTTTATTACGTTTGCTGATGTCAGTTTCTTCCTGCTTTCTGGTAAGCTCATCTCTTACCACCCAGCTAGCTCCTTTATTCAGGTCTAATGAGAAACAGAGTATCAATCAGAATGTCAGTGCAACCCAAGCTTAATTTATTGATTGGTTGAGTTTTGAAAAATAAGTATCACCTACTCACCGTCTGCACTGAGATGTTTTTACCTTTTCACAATGGCAGGGGTTACTGAATGTTAGGTTTGTCACTCCAGGTTTTATTTAAGAATTTTTGTTCCTCTACAAGGATTCAGCTCATGGTCCCGTCCCGGTGCTGGAAAGACTGTAGGTGTCCCCAGACAGTCATCATGTGGGTATTTCCAAGGAAGTTCATTTGCACTGTTGTAAAACAGGGTAGCAAAGCAGGAGGACTGAACCCTTGGCCGTCGGGTCTGCATTCAAAAGTGAGTTGTTAAAAATAGTGGAGTTTAAGTGTCCGAACTATGTCACTGGAGTTTTCAGGGCACAAATATTTTAAAATGGAACCAGCATACCAAAATTAAAGCACTACGAAACTCCCGGTCATGAGCGTGCGCTGGAAGCCCGGCTATTGGGACGCTGCTTTGCGCGGCACCGGGAAGACCTCCGTGGCTGCGGTGTGCTGCCCGCTCGTGCGGAAGGAGGCAGCTTCGGACCACTGAGCTCCCAGCCCACAGAGTGTCCTGCCTGGGTTCACAGCCGACATCCGCCAGTCCTCGGTCCCTCTCGGGGCCCTCCCGATCCTGCCGTGGTGGACGGCCCCCTTCTCAGAGGGTTTGCTCCGTAGGTAAGCTGCGTGCGAGTTCTGTCCTTTCCGTGTTCTGCCCTAAGAAATGGTCCCTCCTCCGCGCCATGGCCGCTGGAGTGGTAACACGCGTGCACTGAGCAGGGGGGCGTGAGGGGTCCTTGAGCGCGACTGCGGAAGTAAAAAGGCTCTCGGGCGACATGTTGGCAAAAGCCAGTCTGATTTGGAGTAGCTCAGGACCTTCAGGGTCCTGGGAAAATATTCATCACCGTCATGTCTTTCGGGTGTGCTGGCGCTATAAATGAACGATACCTAAAATGGGAACTGGTACGGAGAATGTTTACTGTTTTCCATTCACATGAACATTTATGCGTTTGTGTAACAGGGCAGTACCAACTTTCCAAGTGGAAGGAACAGGATCACTGACCCTGCTCTCAAGTTTAGCGTGAGACCCGAAGTCTCCGGGAGTAGAACAGCAACAGGAGTGAAGGCTGAACTTCAGACACACACAGACTTGTGGCCTTTGTCGCTTAATTAATCGTGTGGGCAAGGTCCTGAGCCAGTGCCTGCATTATCCAATTAGGGACCAGACCCTAGTGCTAAGGGCCCTGCGAGAGTCTCGGGCAGGCCGGGAGGCACTCAGTCAGTGGTTATCGTACACCTGCTTTCTCTAGAGTCTCGAGTATTTCTGTTAAAAAGTTTAGATCTATTTAGTCTATAAAGTGCTAATCTGTATCCTCTGCAGAGACCTCAGTCTCTCCCCATTCTCATCTTCAATGGAGTCCCTCTGGAACGGTCCCTTTCCTCCTGCTCCAGAAGGATGCTTCAAGGCTCTGCTTAAGTTGGATGGAGAAAAAAATCTCACAATTCAACAAGCAATTATTAAGGATGAAACGGACCCTCTAGTACCATAATTAGTTTAAAATTCACTCTTTTTAAGGTATTCACTCCTTGAGATTCAGTGAAATGAAAAGATTCAACCATAAACTCTTGCCCACGAGGACTCAAAGGGAGTACTGGCATGTGGCAAATGGGAAGGGACCAAACCGCACGTTCACCGTGAGGCCTCGGGACCAGAACACAGCGCACCTAACAGATGAACATTCGACACGGGTCGTTACCTTCTGGCTCAGCCGATACCGAGCAACCTAAAGACAAGATACTAGTTTTTCCTTTGAAACCTGAGACATTAAGAGCCTTAAATCACACATGATCTGTGTAGCTATGGACAGGGTAGTCAGATTTATTTCAAAACAAAAGCTCTGTTGGGCTGCATCAGATGCAGAAGGAAAAGGATACTTACGGGTGTGGCTACGTCACCAGTGTGCATAACAGTGAGGGATGTCTCAAATAAGCCTTTTTTTTTTTTTAAACTTTAAAAACGGAACTATAACATACCCATGCAGTAATATTTTTTCAGTGCTAATTAAAAAAAATTAAAGCCTGCATTGGAAATTTACAGTATGGCAGAATTTTGTTTCTCTTACCTTTGACCCTAATAACGTAATGTACAGATTTCACGACAGGGTCTGTGTTAAAAATCTAAACATTTCCACAAGATCTGAAACATCACCGGAAATCTGAATTTGGAGGAGACAAAACTGGATAAAAGTACAATGCCCGTGACAGCCAACGTTATGTAACTGGGCTGTATGAGGTCGTTTAGAAGGCAAGGGTTAAAAAGATAGGTGCGGGGTCTGTTTTTTAAAATCCCCGCCCCCCCCCAAAGTTGATGCGCTGATTTGAACATAAGTACACCAGATACTACAGCAAGGGGAAACACTGCAAAAAAGGTCATCTATTTACAGAAGAGTGATTTAAAGACATTATGGTTTTCTTTACAAACAGATGTAGGAACAGGAATTGTCCACTTCTTAAAAACTCTCTATCTCAGCCCTCCACTATTCGAATCCACTGAAGTGCCTGTATCCAAGGCAGCCCCCCGCCCCTCCCCCAGTCTGACTCTCCAAATACGTTTCCATCATTTCTTCATCGTCCGTGGTCCAGGCTCTCCTGAAAAGTCTCTGGGCACGAGTCAGAGGAGGACAGGTTTGTGACCCGCCATTAAAAACAAAACCACCCCAAACGAGAGCCCCCCACCCCGCCCCTCAGCGCCACCGAGCCCGCCTTCCCCACGCGCTCAGTCGTCGCTGTCCGACAGCGTCTCGTACTGCGCAGACAGCAGCGGCGCCGGCTCCCGCTCCCAGAGCCGGTTCTGCGGGTGTGGGGCCGCCTGGGCCGCCGACGCGGGGGCGCACGCGATGGGCGTGGGCGGGGTGCTGCTGAGCATCCGCATGGTCAGGGGGTTGTACGGGAACTGAGTTGAGCCTGACGAGAGAGAGAGAGAGTTTTCAGTGTCATGACCACAGCCGCTGTCCCACACCGCGTTACAGAAGACACAATCATCCTACCGAAACGACCTCGTGACACCGAGAGCACATGGAGCAACGTGGAAGGGCCCGGGAGTGAGAATCTAGAAAGGACACGTGGCCCGAGGACCGACAGCAGCTTAGCACTGCGGAGCCCAGGCATGGACGCTCGGGCCGGGGTTCTGAGGGAAGTCTCGGATCAGGGCGTTTCTGTGGAGAATCCCAAGTAGAAGTACCGCCTTTTAAGCTTCAGCGTCTACACCGAGAATGTGCAGACTCTTAGAGGTAAGGGCAGGAGTGCAGTGTCCTGAGGACGAAGGTCCGGGGGCAGCAGGCAGGTGCCATCTGCTGGCGCTCACTGGGCGGATTTAGCAGGTCCAAGACCTGGAAGGGGGCATGTGACCCCAGCAAGAGCACTGCCACCTTCTGCCACCACCTAGATTTTTCCACTATCCCTGGAAAGCCTTTTACAACAGCTTAAGAAACTGTAAAAGTGGAAAGCCTACCATTTTTATCAAGTCATTCGTTTCATGACTTAATTCCTTCTCTGAGATGCGAGACCGTTCACTGGTTTAGCTGAGACGTTTTCAAACCAGTACACACTCTGTGTACGATGTGAGAAGTTCATCAAGCAAAGGCCTTCAATTATGTGGATATAGTGTCCACATGAAATATATATTCTAATAAATTAGGGGGAGCACATTTCAGATTTTTTTCCCACTGGTATGTATTTAACGTCTTAAAAAAAAAAATGGCTTGTAATTCCGTGAAACCCTTAAATCTACACCAAATACCCCAGGTTTGCCTGTTCCCTTTCAGG